CACTGCCCCGCCGACGGCCCCCGCGGGTCCCCGCCGCCGCACCGGCCGGAGAGGTGAGGCCGTCCGCGGAGGAGGGAGGGGAAGGGAGGGGAGGGGGGACGCGCACCGAGCTGGTGCGGGAAGCGGGATGCTGGGGTACCGCGCCCCCCCCCCGCCACGAGGGCCACGGCAAGACAGACCGACCGACAGACAGACGGGTCCCGAAGGGCAGAGAGGCCGGTGGGGTACCTGGCAAGGAAACCGCCAAGGAAGACGCGCGGGCCTCGGCTGCAGGAGGTGACAGTTACCTCTGCCCTTTGTTCGGAAGTAGAGGATAAGGACATTGACTTGGGGGGGGGGGCTCGGGAAGGGCGGGACGGCCCGCAGGCCTCCAGCTCCCCGCAGAATTCTGTAGTCAGACCCTTCAGCGAGCGAGGTGACCCGGGCCCCAAACCAGCAACGAAGTCCCCGGGCGCAGTAGAAAACCCCGCCTGAGAATTCAGCCCCGAGTGGGGAGTGGGTGATGCTCAGATCTGCCACCCGGGTACCCAAGTTGGGACTTTCTCTTCAAAGTCTGAGGACTGAGAATCGTGGTAGAAACCCTGCTCTGGTCCATCAGCCACAGGCAGAGGTCAGGAGGGAGCAGGCGGGGTGCTCCCAGACAGACAGACACCAGGCTAGAGAATGAGGCACTGAGAGCCCTAGAAAGGCCGCAGAAATACCCAGGGCTGACCCTGTCCTGGACTTTGCCCTCCAGTTCCAGCCCCGCTCCTTGGAGACCCTGGATGCTGACACCCACAGATGCGGAGCTGGCCAGAACCAGGAGTCGGGTAAGGTGAAGTCTTGGGGCTAATACTCAATCCAGGCAAACCAGCAAGTGGCACCATCTCTAAACGAAAGGGGCAGGGAAAGCCTCCTCCCTCTGTCCTTGGCTTGGCCACCTAACCCAGAAGCGTCTCCAGGTCTGGGAGGTAGAACTCACACAGTGAGTGAGCCAGAGTCTCATTGCTGGGCCATGGTCATTGTAGGGGAACTGCTTCAAGTTGGGTGTTCTTGATAACCAGCAGGTGGAGAGGGGAGGGGGGCGTCTGTCCCCTTAGAGGAAAGCTGAGTGCACCATTAGCAGCCGACTGGTGCCACCGTGCAAATAAGGACAGAGCCTCCTCTGAAGTGCCCAGAAGTGCAGTTAAAAGTCCCCACCTGCCACTGGGCCCTTTCTGAAGTACTTTTGACCCTGTCAGCAAGCACTCCTGGGATAACTGATGTTGTCTGAGCAAATACACTCAAGCTGAGGGCTTTTGTGGGCAAAGATGAATTGCCATTTTGATTCTTTTGCTACCCTGCATTGGAAAGTTAATTGCTTTTATACTTATTGAAGTCATGTCTTACTTGCATTTGGTATGATTTTAAATACAGACTGGTGATGTGTGTGTGTGCGCGCACACACACACACACAGATGCACACATGCACATGCACCAGTACTGGGGCTTGAACTCAAAGCCTGAGCACTGTCCCTCAGCTCCACTTCTGGCTTTATATTTGGTGGTTAATAGGATACGAATCTCATGGACTTTCCCGCTCAGACTGCTTCAAACTGTGACCCTCAGATCTCAGCCTCTTGAGTAGCCACTCATGAGCCACCAGTGCTGGGCCCTAAATTAATGACTTACACACTGAAGTTATTCTGGATAGGAAGCATGAAATTTATGTAACACAGGTTGTGTATGGACTAGTCTGCAGTTGTTTGTATTATGGTGAGAAAACTGGGGTGTGGGAAAGTAGATATCCACTACATTTTACATTTAGACTACTTTACCCAACTAATCTAAATATTGTGTGTTTTAATTCAGCTGCTATTATTTACTTTTTTAATGTATATGCCAGTACTGAGGTTTGAACTCAGAGCCTGGGCACTATCTCACTGTCTCTTAGCTTTTTTGCTCAACGCTGGCACTCTACTACTTGAGCTACAACTCAACATCTAAGTAACGGAAAACAATTCCTTCTTTTGCATTCAAATTTAAATTCCATGGGTGTTTAGAGCTCTGTCCCATCCACCCGCTTGCTGTCAGGTCTTTCCAGCGGTCAGCTAGTCAGCTCAGCCAGTACAGCTCAATTCCCAGTACCTAGAAAAACTATTTGCTCAATGGTGCCCTCTCCTGACAAAGCTGGAGAATTCCGAGACTCCACAAATTCCATTGAGAATGGAGGTGACTTGTACCAGGACTTGGGGCAAGCAGATCAAAATTAAAACCAGCTCTAAATCTGAGGGCCAAAGGCCTTTTAGCCTGAGTAAGGCTGTTTCCCACTTGGTACCCCTACTCCTGGGGATGAATCTGCAGGCTTTAGGCCAGAAGGCTTTCTGCTGGAATCTACAGTTTGCACCCTAAGAAAATACATCCCTTAAACGTAGTGACCAATTTGTATACATTTCTATTCTGTTTAAGCATCAAAATGGGACCACTGAGACACTTTCCTCAGTGAGAAAAGGACACTAAAGACCTTTTGGGCCAGGCAGTAGCTCTCATCTGTAATCCTAGCAACTCAGGAGGCTGAGATTTGAGGAGTGAGATTTCAAGCCAGCCTAGGCAAGAAAGTCTGTGAGACTTATCTCCAATTAACCACCTATAAGCTGAAAGTGGCCTTGAGCAAATGAGTTAAAGGATTGTAGCCAGGTCCTGAGCTCAAGCCCCAATACCAGCACACACACAAAAATCAAGATGGTACTTTGAGCAGATCTCTAACTGATAGTGTTTGTTGCACTTCACAGCAGGAACCTGGGGGTGAGCCACAAACTTTGGGATCAAAGGGAGCCTTTGGATTTCAACATCCTGTAAGGTAACATGTAATTTCCCAAGAAGAAGTATGTATTTCCTTTTGATATAATTGTACTCAACTTATACATTTTTAACAGGGTGAAAAATAATTACATTCTCCAATAGTGTATATATATATGTGTGTGTGTGTATTTTTTTGTGCTTGAACTCAGGCTCTGTGCTTTCACTCGGCTTTTTTTTTGGTCCGGTCGTGGGGCCTGAACTCTGGGCCTGGGTGCTGTCCCTCAGCTCTTCAGCTCAAGGCTAGCGCTCTACCACTTGAGCCACAGCGCCACTTCCGGCTTTTTTCTTTTTGCTTATGTGGGGCTGAGGAATTGAACCCAGGGCCTCAAGCATGCAAGGCAAGCGCTCTACCACTGAGCCACCTTCCCATCCCCTCACTCAGCTTTTTCAAGCCATGCTGGTACTCTACCAGTTGAGCCACAGCTCTGCTCCTGGCATTTTGCTGCCAATTAGAGATAAGAGCCTCATAGACTTTCTTGCCCAGGCTGGCTTTGAACCACAATCCTAAGATCTCAGCCTCCTGAATAGCTAGGGTTACAGGTGTTGAGCCACTACAGCCTGGCTCCAGTGTCTTAAACACATAGCTCAGTAGATTGGGGGAAAACGGGGAAATGAGCTGGGAAGAGGAACTCCTAGGGAACAGGCAACTCTAGTAGGAGTTCTGGACAGTGCTCAGGTTGATTGATGATGTTGTCTGTTTGTTTTAAATATCAGGCTTTACTTACCCATTTCAAAGCGTCAAGAATACCTGCAGAGCTCTGGCGAAAGAGTGCTGGCCAGCTTCCCAGTGCAAGCCACCATCCACTTCTACAACGATGAGTCTGAATCTGAGTCAGATTCAGATGAGGATCAGCCAGGGAAGGAAACCCAGCCTTTGGATCATCAGTGCCAGGAGGTGGACAATCTCCAGGAAAACAGCTCAGGGGCAGAATGAACCCAGCAGGAGAGAGGGGCAGCCAGCTCCCCCCCACCCCCCCCCACACAGTGGCTCTACAGAGGATATTCCTTTCCCAGACAGTGGGGCCTCTCTCTGCTAGGCCAGCCCATGTGGGGCTTGGTCTGTGGCTGCACCCCTACCAGACTTCCTCGCTTGGGTGGGCTAGCTATGGCAAGAACTCAGCTTTTACTTTTTCTTCTCTCGTGGTTCTTTTTAGTGCACTCATGCGTACCTCTGAGAAAGGTGCTGGACAAAGAGGTTTGTGTCAACACAGGCCTTTAGCAGGAGGGGCGACTTGCAAACCTCCTTGAGCTGAGTCCTTCTGCTGATCAGGTGACAAAAGATTCCTCTAGACATTTGTTACCCACTTTGCCTCTCCCTGGACTCAGATACTCTGGCTTTTGTTAAAGTAATTTACAAGGGCTGATTTTTTTAGGAGCATTTATACGTAGCTCTTAAAATTATATATATATTCAAATGGGATTAAGGACATCAAACTAGAATTTAAACTCAGGGCCTTGTACTTGCTCAGATGATACTCTACTATTTGAGCCATACCCCCAGCCTTGCTATTTGTTTTGTGTGTGTGTGTGTGTGTGTGTGTGTGTGGTTGAACTCAGGGCCTGGGCACTATCCCAAAGCATTTTTTGCTCAAGTCCACAGCTTTACTACTTCTATTTCCAGCATTTTGGTAGGTGATTGGACATAAAAGTTTCATGAACTTGCCTACCCAGATTTTGAACAAGTCTTCAGATCTCAGCCTCCTGAGTAGCTAGGATTAGAGGGATGAGCCTCCAGTGCCTAGCTTTGACGGTTATTTTGGAGATGGAGTCTTGAGGACTTTTCTACCTAAGCTGGCATCAAACCTCAATCCTCCAGACTTTAGCCTCCTGGGTAACTAGGATTTCAGGTATAAACCACTAGCACTGGTGCATTATGAGTTTTTTTACTTAGGAAAAAATTACAACGCTGAATAATTTACATAAGAGTAATGATATTATTTTGAGGAATAACTCTGTGTAGGAATGTTTGTAGCACTTGTCCAGCTGTGTGTGAGAGTGTGTGGGTCACAGAGGTGACTCTGGGCTTATTACCAGAATGGAATGACACAGTTGTCAGTTACAGTGTTTGATATAAAACTGGCTTTTACATTTTGATAATAAAACAAGAGTATACATTAAGTTTTTGACTTATCTTGCCATAGTTGTCTTCTTGCATGTAATCTGTTATGTGAATTTTTACTTGGAATAAACATTTTCTACGAAAGAATGTTTGATAACTGTCTTTTTATGTTAAAAGACACTCAAGTTCAATGACTTCCTCTTTTAATTTTTTCAGAAGTAGTTTTTTTTTTTTTCTGTTGTGGTACTTGAACTCTGGGCCTGGGAACTGTCTCTGAGCTCTTCAGCTCAAGGCTAGCACTCTACCACTTGAGCCACAGCATGCCAATTCTGGTTTTCTGGTGGTTACTTGAGATGAGAGTCTCTTGGACTTTCCTTCCCCAGGCTGGCTTTGAGCTGCGATCCTTAGATCTCAGCCTTCTGAGTAGCTAGGATTACAGGCGTGAGCCACTAACGCCCAGCTTTTCATTTTTATACTTAGTTCTTTTTTTGTCAGTTGTGGGGCTTGAACTCTAGGTCTGGGCACTGTCCCTCAATTCTTCAGCTCAAGGCTAGCACTCAACCTCTTGAGCCACAGCGCCACGTCCGGTTTTCTAGTAGTTTATTGAAGGTAAGAGTCTCACAGACTTTCTTACCTGGGCTGGTTCTGAACTGCGAGCCTCAGATCTCACCCTCCTGAGTAGCTAGGATTACAGGCATGAGCCACCAGCTTTATAATTAACACACACACACACACACACACACACATTCTTAAACATACATATTTTCTTAAAGATATATGTTTTTTTCTTTTTGTTGATTTTTTTTCTTTGTCAGTCATTGGGCACCAGGCTATTTTCTTAAACATATATATGTCAAGTGGGATTACAACAAACTAAAAAGTTTCTGCACAACAAAGGACATAGTTACTAAAGTAGAAAGACAGCCAACAGACTGGGGGAAAATCTTCACCAGCAATGCATCTGGCAAAGGCTTGATATCCAAAATATATAAGGAGCTCAAGAAATTAACACCCCAAGGGTCTGGGAAGTTGGCTCAGTGGTAGAATGCTCGCCTTGCATGCTTAAGGCCCTGGGTTCGATTCCTCAGCACCACATAAGCAGGGAAAAAAAATCCCGAAGTGATGCTCTGGCTCAAGTGGTAGAGCACTAGCCTTGAGCTGAAGAGCTGAGGGACAGCACCCAGGCCAAGAGTTCAGGCCCCATGACCGGACAGCCCCCCCCAAAAAATTAATACCCCACCCCAAACTAATAAACCAATCCATTAATGGGCAAAGGAGCTGAGGACAGACTTCTCAGAAGAAGAAGAATGTCAAAGAGACACATGAGGGAATGCTTAGTATCCATGGCCATTAAGGAAATGCAAATCAAAACATCTGTGAGATTCCATCTCACCCCAGTTGGACTGGCCAACATCATCTTCAATTCAAACAATAAGAAATGCTGGTGGGGATGGGGGAAAGGAACCCTACGTCGCACCGTTGGTGGGAATATAAACTAGAACAACTCTGAAGGCAGTCTGGAGGTTCCTCAGGAAACGAAAACTAAACATAGATCTTCCCTATGATCCAGCCACATGACTTTTAGGCATCTGCCCAGATCATTGCCAAGTGAGGATACCACAAAGACACTTGCACATCCATGTTCATGGCTGCACCATTCACAATGGCCAAGCTATGGGAACAGCCCAGATGCCCTACAACAGATGGGGAGATCAGCAATGTGACATATATACACAGTGGAATTTTATTCACCCATTAGAGAGATTATGCCATCTGCAGGGAAATGGATGGCCCGTGAACAAGTCAGGCTAAGGGAGGTAAGCCATGCTCAGAGACAAACGGCACTTGTTTTCTCTCATATGTGGAAGCTAGAGCTAAAGTACACCAGGATATAATAAATATACAGGACTCCAGGCATGCACACAGTCAGACTAAAGGAGGATACCCTTAGGGGAGAAACCCAAAGGTGTGGCTTCTCTGAACATTTAAAATACTACTTATTGAAACGAACTCTAGGGAACGAAAACAGGTTATTTGTTGTTATTGTTGTTGGTGGTGGTGCTGGTGGTGTTTTTCTTTTAGGGGGTATAAAGGAGGGTTCGGAAAGAGGAAGGGTGAAGAAATGCAATCAGGCTATTGAGTATATACTACAAAAAATGACCTATGTAACTAACTTGCGGCCAGGGATGGGAGAGGCAAATGAGGAAAGCAAAGGAAGGAGTGACATTTTCCAAAAGCAGAAATGTACTCGTTGCCTGACTATGACATGGCAAGCCCTCTGTACAATACCTTGATGAAAAGAAAATTATTTAAAAGTATATGCATATGCATATATATGTTTATATGCATACATATAATATATATGTATATATGTATACATATATAATATATACACATATGCTATATTTATGTATATAAGTATGTACATACATATACACACATGTATATAGATATAGATAGATAGATACTAGTTAATTGGAGAGAAGAATCTTGTCTGCCTGGGGTGGCCTCAAACTGTAATCATCAGATCACAGCCTTCAGAGTAGTTAGGGTTGTCTGATGATGCTGAAATAAGTTCAAAATGTGCTATCTCCACACCTCTTCTCCAAAATCTTTTAAAATGCAATCAAAGCAATCAATGGTTATACTTAGCCAGGTTTCACATTATTACACCACACACACACACACACACACACACACACACACACACACATATGAGTCTTTTCCCATGAGACTTCTGGATCACAAAGCACTTTGATGTTTGTGGAATGCCTTCAATTCAAGAAACGAAAACTAAACATAGATCTTCCCTATGATCCAGCCATACATGGCCAAGTAGCCACATCACTCTGCATTCCCACTAACAAGGTATTGTGAAGAAGACTTGAAGTGCAATTTGATTGGATTGAGAAGTGCCTAGGAGACTAATATTGTGTGTGTGTGTGTGAGAGAGAGAGTGTGCACACACACATGCCCCTATGCATAAGAGAGTTTCCAAAGAAAATTAAGGGAGGGCTGGGAAGGTGGCTCAGTGGTAGAGAGCTTGACTTCTATGCCTGAGGCCCTGGGTTCGATTCCCCAGCACCACATAAGCAAAAAGAAAAAAGCCGGAAGTGGTGCTGTGGCTCAAGTGGTAGAGCGCTAGCCTTGAGCTGAAGAGCTGAGGGACAGTGCCCAGGCCCAGAGTTCAGGCCCCACGACCGGACCCCCCCCCAAAAAAAAGAAAGAAAATTAAGGGAAAAGACCTGATGATATGGGCAGCAACACCCCACAGACAGGGTCTCATGTGGACTATAAAAAGCAAAAGGCAAAAGCTAACTAGTCCCTTCCCCTTCCTTCTTCATCTTCTTCTTCCCCTTCCCCTTGTTCTTCTCCCTCCCTTCCTCCTTCCCTCCCTCTCTCTGTCTCTCTGTCTCTGTCTCTCTCCACTTCCTGGCCTCTATGAAGTTAGCTGCTCTGTTCCACCACCTTCTCCAGTGTGCCAGTGATGAGTTGAAACACTGAAACTTTTAGCCAAAAAGGAATCTTTCCTCCCTTGTTTCCTCAGGTGTTTTATCACTGTGATAGAAGGCCAGAGCAGGCCATGTTCTATTTACACCATACACACACACACACACACACGCGTGTGTGCACATGTGCACACACACACACACACACACCCCACACACACAGAGCCTTTGGCTGAATAACAAGTTCCCAGAGCGTTTTGTTGTTTGGGCTAAGCAGTTGGTTTTCATCACTTTTTTTCTCTTCTGATAATAAAATTGAGAAAAACACTGAAGGAAATGCCTACTCCCCTGCAAAGTCTGAGTCATGTCCTGGTGACTCAATTCTTCTAAAACTTCCAGAGAATGATCGATCAATGCATACATAGA